GACCAGGATGGTCTCGATCTCTTGACCTCGTGATCCACCAGCCTCGGCCTCCCAAAGTGCTGGGATTACAGGCTTGAGCCACCGTGCCCGGCCATGTTTTTCAAATGCTTTGATGTTACTGATAAACCAGTAATCAAGTTATGTAACTCAAGTTTTAACTTGAATTTTCTAGGTTGCATATACCACAAAAAAAGAACAATGGTTCTCTGATTCTAAGTGATTAAGTACTCTAAAAACTTGGGGAAAGGACTGCCTTTCAGAATATTTTAAACATCTTGACTACTTAAAAATATTTAAGTAGTATTTAAGACATTTAATGCTGCCATCAGTCTTCTCTCAGAGATGACTGCTGAGTTGTGACATTAGTATTCCTTTTGGTGAACCTCTGTTGCAAGGTAGGGGACCTAACAGGGAAACGTGGATGAGAGAGGGTAGATTAGGTCAGGGAAGAACCCTTGTCATTTCCATGTCTACCTAGCTGTCTTGGAAAGCTAAATATTTAGGGACAAGATATCAAGTATAAAGCTAGCCTCTTTTTTCTATTCTTTTTTCTTTTTTTTTGAGATGGAGTTTTGCTCTTGTTGCCCAAGCTGGAGTGCAATGACGCGATCTCGGCTCACCGCAACCTCTGCCTCCTGGGTTCAAGTGATTCTCCTGTCTCAGCCCCCTGAGTAGCTGGGATTACAGGCATCCACCACCACACCTGGCTAATTTTGTATTTTTTACTAGAGACGGGGTTTCTCCATGTTGGTTAGGCTGGTCTTGAACTCCCAACCTCAGGTGATCTGCCTGCCTCGGCCTCCCAAAGTACTGGGATTGCAGGCGTGAGCTACCACACCCGGCCTTTTCTATTCTTAACGGATAAAGTTGATATAAATGGAAATCAGAAACCTACATCACTGAGCCCACAGATGAGCATATTATGAACACAGCAGGATCTTCTTGAATTGTTTTAGGGTAAAATGAATTGGCCATCAAGATACTTATATTTTTATGGGAAAAATAGCATATTCATTCTCATAGTACCTTTTTTTTTTTTTTTTTTTTTTTTTGAGACAGAATCTCACT